AGTCTTGCAATATAATGAAGCTTTAATACCCTTTAAACTAGTAAAAATATGCAGTACATGCAAGCTATAAAGCTATCTGTAGAAATATATAATACAAGTTATTTAGATTTACATTTGCAACTTAAAAATAAAGAAAAAATATATTCTATTTAAAGCAGCCTTGACTATAGCAACACTATAGCCTATTAATTTAAAAATTTTAACGGCCAGGCCAACACCATTAAGTGCTTAAATTTATTGAATAATTTGTTATTTATGTTTACGATCCTATAAATAGCCATTGCTTGAAATTCGGTATGCCCATGGTCTCTAACTAGACGGAAATTATGCCTTTTCCAAATAAACTTCACACAACGAGGCACCTAGGGCCTTATTGAATGAATGGCATACAGATGCGGCTCAAAGTAAAGTCAAGTTTTGTTCTGAGTGGAAGAGAGTTGGCCAGAACCGAAGAGAGAGAAACTCGTTTCTTTTGGGATGCTGGAGTGGCGTGGAAGAACTTTCTTCTCATTGATTCTAGCGGCCTGCATATAAATAAATAAATTAAAGATACTTTCTTTCTGGCGTTGTGTGCGTGAGTCTGTGGCTTTTGCTTTGGTGTCATCATCTATTCAATGCCTCTAAGCTAACGCCTCACTTCATCGTCTGACCCAAATACTTGCAAGCTCTTTCTCCGGAGGTCAGATCCCAAGTCGAAGTCGAAGTCTGAGCCTGGTTTTTTGTACACCTTGTGTCATTTCTGTTTCTGGCGATCGGAGATCGGGTGTTTGAGTTGGCTGTTGGTTCAACAAGCGGACAGATTATGAACATCAACCCATTTACAAGTATTTCCAGTCCTCCGGCTCGGTTTTCGATTATACGCATCTTTATCGGCATCTTCATTAGTTTGACCCAATTTATTTGGGAGTTCTTTTTACTTTCTATTTTTCCGGCGAACGGCTTAAGAATATATCGTGTTGTGGGATGAACGTTTTTATGGACCTCTTGTTATGCTTTTGATTTGGGGAAGTCGATTTACTTTCATTTGAGGAAATCTTTTTCGGGTCTGTCGATTGTTTTCAGATTTATGGGCGTTCACGAACACTTCCGTTGATATTGGTTGAAAAGAAAAAGGTTTTATATGAATATATATTTGTTTCGGAAAGGAAATTTCACCTTACAACACGAATAAAAGTAGCCAATTAATCGGGCTTACACTCAGCTTTAAAATTCTTTTCACATGCTATGCACCGTTTCAGCAAACAGAATTAACCTTTATTGGCCCCACAGGCAAATGTGGTCAGCACTCTTTGATGACTTGTAATCATGAAGCGATCAGAAAAATATTTCTACACCACACATGCGGTTTAACCTTTAATGTTCTCATCAACCTTAGCTGGACTTGAAATGAATTGTGCTTCTTTTTGGGTCGTGCAAATTTAAAACCCGATGAGCAATTTCTCTGAAACAACAAATGTATTTATGGGTCAGTGCGAAACCAGAACAAAAGTTATAAATCTTATATGCGATATCAATCCAGAAATTGGAGTGCTCTATTAGATTTATAACCCAAAGCCGCGGGAATTTTTTTCTATTTCGGACGAAAAGAAAGCGGATCTGACTATTAACATAAAGTTTTGATAAAGACAAAACACGGAATCGCTTCAAAGACATCAAAGTTCGGCGGTGGTAAAATGCTAAAATGATATTTGCCAGACTCATTGACAAATGGGTTCGGATCTACTTTGTGGAACTAGGTCGAGTGATGATAAAGGGCTTTCGATTGAGGATTTGGAATATGCAAAGAAATACAAATTTGCTGATAAAATAGTTTGATGGACAGCCTAAGAGCCTCATTAAGTTGTTAATGTTTTTCGCATATACTTTTAAGTATTTGAATATTAAGATGGATCTCTTGAGCTGTGCTATAAGAACAGTTAAATGGCTAGGGCAGCCCATCAGTTTGCGTTCGCTAAGCGATTCGGTCGGTTCGCCGGGAATATGAAACTCAATCCGCCAGTTCTTCTACTCCTTCTTGGTCTCATTTCGATCTGCGATCGAAGCTGGGCCGTCTATAATTATAAGCCACCTTCCCGCGGTTATTTCTACCCGAAGCCAGCGCGATTGCCACCTCTGCCAGTCAATGGATCTACGACTTCCAGCACCGGCCCACCGCCCGGAGTTCAATCGGACTTCATTGACGATCTGATTGAGGGCCATAAGCAGCAAATCTTATCGAATGTCTTGGGCGTGGCCAGTGAAACTCCCTCGGATGCAGCCTCCTCCCTCGGATCCCCATCCTCATCCTCATCCTCGTCGGCCTCCCCGACTTTTCCCCTCGAAGGCGGTGGTGCCAAGGCGTTTCGCGTTAATCGCTGTGCCAGCTGCAGTGAGTTGGGAAATTGTGGTGCCAATCGAAACCAGCCCAGCCAGGGAATGAAACGATCCCGGCTAATCTCCGGCTAATAATTGGGAATTTGAATCGGTTATTGTACGCCTATCGGGAAACGCATTGCATCCAAACGTGTTTGTGAACGTGCTGTGGGCATATTCAACGACTTTATTTCTTAACGCTTTTGTGCCTCCTATTGACCAAATCAATGAAACAGTTGCCATTCATTACCATTGGCATATTAAAACATCATAACAAACACGGTGATTCAATTAAGTAATTAAATGCCTAGTCAATACTAAATGAAATATAGTAGATAAAAGCCGCAGCATAAAGTATTACTGACATTAATTGATACACTTAAGAGTAATATTTTCGCGTTGTCGTCACTATCGCTTATCTAAAGAAACCAAAGCTCGATTATTAAGGTTGCCTAACTTCCGGTTGTCCTACGTTTTCACTCCCTGGCTGAGAGAGTTGCCACCAAAGACCACCAGCACCACCACAGCGAATCCAAATTTCAATCCTCTTGCAGCCTGCGGCGTTCCGAATGTGAATCGCATTGTGGGCGGCACCCGAGTGCGGACGAATAAATATCCGTGGATTGCGCAGATCATCCGCGGTACCTTCCTGTTCTGCGGCGGAACTTTGATCAACGATCGCTATGTCCTGACGGCCGCCCACTGTGTTCACGGCATGGACATGAGGGGCGTGTCCGTTAGACTGCTGCAGCTGGACAGGAGCTCCACCCACCTGGGAGTCACGCGGTCGGTGGCCTTCGCCCATGCCCACGTGGGCTACGATCCGGTGAGCCTGGTTCATGACATAGCCCTCCTGCGATTGGATTATCCCATTCCGCTGGTGGACACCATGCGCCCCGTCTGCTTGCCCAGCAACTGGCTGCAGAACTTCGACTTCCAGAAGGCCATTGTGGCGGGTTGGGGCTTGAGTCAGGAGGGTGGCTCCACCTCCAGCGTCCTGCAGGAGGTGGTGGTGCCCATCATCACCAATGCCCAGTGCCGGGCCACCTCGTACAAGTCCATGATCGTGGACACCATGCTGTGTGCGGGCTTTGTGAAAACCGGAGGGCGGGATGCGTGTCAGGTGCGTTTGGAGCTACTTCAAATATTTTCTACTGCTTACAAGTTACCACTCTTTTTGAATCACCTCTCCAGGGCGACAGCGGTGGTCCCTTGATCGTCAGGGATCGCATTTTCCGTTTGGCTGGAGTTGTGTCCTTTGGCTACGGATGTGCCAAGCCCGATGCTCCTGGTGTCTATACGCGGGTGTCTCGTTATTTGGAATGGATAGCAGTTAACACCAGGGACTCTTGCTACTGCATTAACTAGTCCGATTTTGATAATAATTATTTATTTGACTATTCCTAAATACTATTTGCAATTGAAGCTTGATTAAAATTAATGCCTAAACGTTTTTGGAAGGTATGACTTAGAACTTATGGATAGTGCTTTATCAGATCGTAACAAGATATACATATATATATTTTATATTCCAGAGGAAGTGTAGCAACTTTATGCTGTTCAACAGCAGCCCACGATCACATAAAAATCCAGTTCCCTTTCTCGACGGGGAGTGGGGTTTATTCATTTCGCTTGGGGAATTGGGCCGCGTGTGACCCACGCAACTCCCTCAATCGACATCTGGTTTTACTTTCTTAGTGCAAAAGAGATACAAATTGTACAAATATTTGGAGGAAACAGGTTATGGAAACCCTAGCCGTGGCCTTTCACTTTTTGCCCCGCGCCAGTTTGCAGAAATCAATAAAACCCGCAGTCAGAGTTGAAGTTGAAGTTTGCTGAGCGAAAATCGAATCGAAGCCAAGGACGTTTTCCGCCGACATCGCCTGACACATTGTTATCACTTGTCAAGGCTCCACAACCGTCCTGCGAATCGCAGAGTTGACAAAACCTTTATCTTTATCCCTTTTGGCCGGCAGGCCGGCAGGCCGACTTGTGGCCGACAGTTGTTTAATGGATTTTCAAGTTATTTCTGGTATTTTGTTGTAGTTGCCGCTGCAACTGCAGCAGAAGTACGGCAAAACAAAGATATCTCTCCGCGGAAAGAAACTCGTTTGTGGCCAGGGGCCAAAGAAAATGCCGCATAATTGCCGCCGCCACGACTTCGGAACAAAAAGGGGGCGGGGCGCCCAGAAGGGGCGGCGGTGGCAGGCTAGCCACCGAATCGACAATGTTGTCAATGCTGGCTGCTCTGGCATTTGATTTTATTTTTAACTAGACTATAATTGATGCCAGGCATTGCAAGGGTTATCGAGAAGAAACGCGACGGGCAAGGCAGGGGGAAATATGTGTGGAGTTCAGGGAACAGCGCAATTTATCTTAATTAAAAACGTGCCATCAGGAAAGAGTTGTGTAGTAATATTCATGAAAATGTCTCTGCTTAGCTAATTTACATAGATCAACCTTTATGTGAGCTCTACCAACTCAGCCGTACCATTTGTTGTAGGCAAAAGAACGAAACTAAAGATATAACTGAAATTCGGAGCGGAACTTATTTATTTGGTAAACAATGCCTGACATAGTAATGAATTCCTAACAATAAGCAGTGTAGCAGATAATTAAAATGACCAATCAAAATATGTTGGTTTTTTGTTTTCTTTATTTTGGTATTACCTATTGCTTAGAGTCATTGCCTTCGACTAAGAAAGCATTGCAGCTTCTCTATGGAGACAATCGTCAGTTGAAGTTTTCTTTTGATGTTGGCACACTCAACTATGAGATCCAGACAGTGTTCCCAATGCCGATTCGCGAATCGCAAGTTGTCTGGCAGCATAGAGCCAAATATATTCGTTACGGGTCGGAGATATCCCAGGATCGGGTTAACAGGAAGCCGGATGATCCTGAAAACCTTTCCCCAGGAGCTCTGTTCCTCCACAACGCGACTAAGAGCCTTGTAGGGTCGCCCTCTTGGTAATTGGGCTTCTGCTGGAATTCGGTGAAAACCCTTGTGCAATCTTACTCTAGCCAGGACTAACTGAGCCCTAGCTGTCTCCTTATGGACTTGCGAGTGTAGCAGCTCGAAGTCTTCTATTAGGTGAATCATTTGCAAGAGGAGGCTATCTAAAGTACATCTGACATCGTCGTCCTCCTTCAAGAGTGATCTTGATTCTCGCTTCGGATACGATTCATCGCAGGGCACTTCCTCTTGGCTCATCTCCTAGTAGTTCTTCTGAATGCAGGATATTTCTCTTCAACAATTATTGAAAGTTCAAAAAATAACCGGTTGAAATAAGTTTGATTTGAAACGACATTGTGACTAAAATATCAAGCAAACTAAACGACATTTTGTTGCGATGGTTATTATTTCGTTTTCATGATCCTCAATTATGTGGTTACGCTTTAGATTTAGATAGGTACAGTAACATTATCTAATCCAAGTAATTACAGTTAACTAATACAAAACGAAAGATCATAATAAGGTAATGCCATTGTTTGCAAAACCGTCTTTTCAAATTACTTTCCCAGAAAATGAACTAGTTCACACTTACCCCACTTACAGCCGAGTTGTTGGCCATCAAATTTCTTGGATTTTTTGTTGGTTTTGATGAATTTATCAGATTGGTTAGTCTGCCTTGAAATGAAGAGGGTTTTGAGAAGGGGAAACGTCACACCGCACGCTTCGCTGGCTAATTTAACATAATTCTCACATAAATCGCCAGCGAGTTGGGTAGAGAAATTTTCACGCCTCGCTTAACGCATTTGGCATAGCAAAAATCCATTTCTTGGCTTATTCTCCTGCCATTTTGCCAGCGCTTCCTTTGCATATTTTCATTTTTTTCCTACCATTTTTTATGGACTAAAAACAAATGTCCGAAATTGTACAGACACGAGTTTTCGCTGCATCAACGCGGCACTTTGCTGCTAAACCGCAAAACATTTTAATAAATTGCCAGTTATTAGTTTCTTGCGGAGCGGCAGGAAAAAGTGCAATTAAAATGCATTCGAAATGGGGTGAGGTGGTGGGTAGGAAGTCGGGGGACCAAGGAAGTTCCGCAGCGAAGGAAATTAGCATAAGCATTGACTTTTTTCCAACGGGCAAGGTGGGGCAAAAAAACTAAAAAAAACTGTTGCGCTAGTTTCCCATAATTTGCCCCAGCGAAGATAATGAGCAAGAAAGAGTAGCCAGGGGATGGGGTGGAAAAGCGGGGGGGAAAACCCAGGGGGCGGGGAAACTGCGGTCAGTCGCATTGCAAATGGTGTGAAACTCTGCTGTGTTGGTGGAGGGGGAGGAGGAGGGGAAGCCAGCACTGCCTTCATTGTTCAACGTTGCACTCAGTTGTTGTTGCTGTTATAATGGCCACCGCTTGCAATTTGCATAAATGTTTTTAATTAAATGCATTTAAAGCATATTTTCCATGCACACCGGGCAAATTTGTTAATGAAATCGAATCAGGGGGAAATGGGAAGTGCCTTTAAGTTAGGGTTATTATGCCTAATATGGGAACTTGACAGCGAAAGTAGCAATGTCACAACAATTGCTTTGCGTGGGGTAAGCCGATAAGAAATTTCAAATGAGATTTTTAATGCGATAATTTGCTCTTGAGCCTAATGGGAAAAATGATTTAAATGGGAACAATAGGAACAAATGGGAACCTCAATTAAATAAAGTATTAAACGGTACTAAAATCGGCTCATTATAGAATAAGCAAACTAAATTGATAAGTTGTCCATTTATATATGTTGCAAGGGTTAAGGTAGATAAATTGCATAAGCCTGATATCCACAATATCTTTTATCGAATGCTTACTGTATGCAACAATATCAAGACCTGGGCAGTAAATTATCTAATTTAGTCGCCAAACTACCACTTTAACATTATATAAGTCCGACAAATACCTTAATCAACTGCCAACCCACTTATCACTCCCTTGTCACTCGAAACTAACCGCATCTGAACTAACCATAAAATCAAGACAAAGACGGAGGCGATTAACTTGTTTCACGAACTTTCAAAATGCAACACCAAAAGAAATGAAAAGAAAACTTAAAAACCAAAAGATCCCACAACAAACTTGCCAAAAACTCGCTTGTTTCCTTCCTGTGCGCGACCAAAAAAAAGGCAACCGCAAATCTTTCTTTTTTTCCTACCTCAAACTCGCAAAAAAATTAAAAAAAAGAAAAACCGTACAAAACAATTTATGTCAACTTTCTTTTTATCAAACAAAAAGAAGGAATCAACGTGTGGCAAAACGGCGGGGGGAAAATTCCAAACAATTTTCAAAGCCACCGCAAAAATCTTGCACCACAGACTCCCACACAAAGTCAGGCAGTCAGGTGGGTTTTATTTCAGCTTCTTTTTTTTTGTGGCTTCGAACAGATGATTTAGCGACGGGTTTTTTCTCCCCACTAGTTGCAGAGGTTGCAAGAAAGTTGCCGAATCATGAAGCAACTCCTGCGCCCCTCCCCATTCCGGAAAAAGAGCCCCTCGTCCCCAAAAGGGGTACATTTTTTGGGGGAGAGTAATCGAAAAGTATTCGATGGAGCTCTTTCTCGGTGGACAGGTGACCAATAACCACGACACTGGTCGGTTCAGTTCTTAAACTTGTTTCAATTTACTGTATTTTTACCGCTACCGTTCTTGTGCCTGCAGTTGTATACCCTTTTTAAAGAGAATGTTCCTGGCTTTAAGTTTAAGCTTGCTACATTTTCTTAATACCAATTTCAGCGAGTTAAACGAAGTTAATTTAATGCATTTTCCTAGTCATTTTCCCTTTGGTTATTCTGTTTTCTACACCCGAAAGCCTAAGGCTTTCAACTTAAGTTGGTTTTGTTTCGGACTTCTGGGCCCATCCTTACTTATCAGTGTGGTTTTTTTCACTTATTTTTACGTGGCTATAACTGTTGTTTTGGCCGGTGCCCGGTGCACGGTGATTACCAATGTCGGGAGCAGGAACGAGAAATGGACCGGGATGGCAAACGAGTCAAGTCAGTTCCCCGCGCCGCCGAACAGCACAAATTTGAAATCAGTTTCATTATATAAATTGTTACCTTTAGACGATGTGGCAGACAGCTTGGGCCGGAGGTTTGGAGCCCTCATTGAGCCAGTTTTTTGCTTTGAGCTGTGAAATATATTTCTCCTCTTTTTTCATTCGCATTCCTCTTTCAACTGAAAATTGCACACAATTTGTGCTGCATAATGTCAAAGTTGGTTTGGCTTTGGTGCGAAACGAATTTGATTTGGCATCCGTTGGATAGAAGTGGCTCAGAGTAACGCACTTGACTTCAATTAGACAGCGAGCACTTACCAATTGCCCGGCTTTTCCCCCACCCGGTTTCCCCGGTCGTTCATGTACTGGTCAAACAGCTTCCTCCTCGAAAATGGCAAACTGTGTCAGTCAGCAGCGACTTTGACTGGCACTCGTCTGGCGTCCCATCGCAGTTCCTCGGTTCCTGATTTTTCCACTCCCATCTCAACTTTCCTCAGCTCAGCCCGTTTGGTCATTTTGTTTGCTCCTGCACTAAGGAAAAACTATCGTTAATGTTAGAAGAGCTCCCAGATTATGCATAATCTCATACCATCTTTATTCATCTTCATGAATTAATATTAATATTCACTACAATATATTTGTCCATTCAATCGACGTTGGTAACGAAAACAGCTTGGCTAAAAACAACTTCCCACAAAACGTTTCCTCTTCGAGGGAAACTCTGCCCCCAGAATTGTTCTGTGTGCATGTCTATGGTCAGTGGCTGTCAGTCAGCCGCCAGTGTCCATCCAGAAGGCGAATCCCCACCCAGATTCTGCTCCTTTATTTGCTCCCCCGGCCCCGGGGGCTCCCTAACTGTTTGTGCTATCCCGAGTGTTGACTGACAGGTGCCGCCGGAGAATTTTGGCGCTACAGAGTGCATAAATAAAAATTTTCCAACTCTGTTGACAGTGGAACATGGCAGCGAAAGAAAAACGCCGAAAGAAATATCACGAAACCGGGGACCAAGAGCCATTAGTTAGATGAGTGAGCAAAGGATGAATTATGGAAGGAGGGCTTAGAGTGGACTTTAAAATGTTAGTTAAAGTTGTTCCCTTACCTCAAATCTTCGTAAAGTAAATAATTCGAAATGCTTTAAATTAATTCGTTATATTTATTATATATCATATATAAAAACCAAAAATATATTAAACAAAAAATATTAAGTATTCATCTACATACATCATCGTTATTTCTACGTGATTTCTACATCGTGGATATAATTTTACAGAAATTATACATAATCTGGAAAAAAAGTTTAAATCATTTATTTACATGTAGAAGTCGTGATTATAAAAAAGCAGTAACTACGATCATGTCTATTGGTTTGAAACTACGCTTACTCCAACATTTTCAACAACGTTTTAACAAAAAGCTTAAGTAGAGATCAAAACCAAAGTATCTCACCAGCAAGATCAACAACCCTAAAGTTTTCCTAAATTCATATTTTAATTTCAAATTTTTTTTTATTTTTCAAGTTAAGTATGCAAAAACTTAATTATAAGCGGAACCTTAAACATTAATAATAAGTCTTTTATTCTTTTCCTACAGGCTCTAACCCAACACTGATATAATGGCCTCCACAGCAAAAGCGAATGGCACGACAGCGAAGACCGCAACCATTAATGATGACTACATAACGGTAGTGGAAGTGGACGATCCGACGTCGAACTCGAAGGATCGGCTTAAGAAGCTAGTCAAGCGTCAAAGCTCCGTGGCGGAGGACTCCTCGTTCATCACAGTGCTGACAATAAACGAAATGGAGTTACTCCAACAGCGAAAACAGGACAAGGAAGTTGAAAGTGGCTCAAACCCTACAATGGAGGAGCAAATAGAGGATGTCACATTGTTCAGATTACCGGGAGAGCGTCTCGGTTTTGGCCTCAAGTTTCAGGGAGGCACCAGAAGCACAGAACTCATCCAAAAACTGTACATACAATCCTGTGCCGCCGACAGTCCTGCCTCCAAAGTAGCCACCAGCTGGGGTAATCTACGCGAGGGTGATGAGATCGTCAGTATCGATGGTCGGGATGTCCGGGAATTGACGCGAATCGATTGCGTTCGCGGCCTCAAAGACAATGTGGCCATCCAGCTGGTGGTGCGAAATGGTCACGGCCAGAAGCCGCCCAGCGAAGAGGATCCACAGCAGCAGGAACAGCTATCGATCACTCTGAATGCCCAGCCACCTCCTCCGCCACCAGTGCCGCCAAGAAAGTTGGTGAGACGACAAAACTCCAAAGAGAACCAGGCCCAGCTGCTTATCGAGAAGCCATTGACACCACCACCGGATGCGGAGTACTATCTGAATCTTCTAACCGAATCCATCAAGGCGGGCTCAGAGTCGGATGATACAGCCAGTACAATTTCCACCGTCATCGACAAGTTCTCTATGAGCTCGAATTACTCCTCGGACAGCAGTCTCAATGGCCATGAGCTGGCCAAGGTTTTGCAACCATTTACCCTCCTCGAGCAGGAGTTTCTGCCCTTGGAGCAGCCGCTGGGACATCCCAAGTTGCTTATTCCTGGCAACAACTATGAAAATGTGGAGTTCAAGACGGAGAAGGTCAATGTGTACGAGAATGTGGAGCTAAGGAGTCCAGAAACGACGCCGACACCAAAGCCCAGAGTCCAACTGGCAACCGTAGAGCCAAAAAAACGATCGATCATACCCATGCCACGAAAAATTCCTACTCCAACGAAGCTGCCCATTGAGGTGACCCCGCCGCGGGTTCCCATGTTGGAGGAGCCCAAAACGCCCACTAATGACAAAGCCGATTCCCCTAAAACACCCACTAGCGAACTCAAGGAGTCTCCCATCAGTGCTACCAAAATACCTAAGGCCAAGTTCTCCAGGGCCAAAACTGAAGGCGAGATCAAGCTGCATTTGCCAACCCCAAAGCAGCAATCACCACAAAGCAAATCTCGTATACCCGTAGTCAGTACCCCTACACCACAAAAAACTGTGTCCAAACCAGTATCACCCACATTGAATGGTACACCACTCAGTTCCAATATACCACGACTGTTGCAAAAGCAGAAGTCCGAAACGGATCTGAAACTGAACTTGTATAGGAGTAAGTCTAAAGAGTCGAGTCCCAGACCTCCTTTGCAAAGAGCGAACTCGGCAGAGGCCCCAGAAAGGACCTTTATACCTGTACTTCTTAACGGCAACTCCAAGAGCTCAAACTCCTTGGAGAGCGTCAGTTCGATTGGCAGTAATAGCAGTGGAAATAGTGGAAGATCGCCAAAGGGACCAAAGCCCAAGCCACCAGAGCGAGTGCAATCGCTTCAGAAAACCCAGATACCCAAATTGCAGGCACTTCCAACCACTCCACCTCAACAGATACCCAAATTGAGCATGCAGACGTTCAAGCAGAGCCCACCCACACCCCGATCCACGCCAGTGGGTACTCCATCTCCAACAAGTAATCGAGAGATACGCTTCAAGATTCAGACGTACGAGAGCAAGGCCCAGGACGAAGATAAACTACCCAGCTTATTTGACCTAGTGCACAGTCAGGAGAATGATAAGCATAAGGATAAGGACAGCGATTCGCTCAAGGCCCACAATAGTATCACAGCTCTTTTGGCCGCCGCCGCTGCTGAGGCCGCTGATCTCTCCAGGGAGTCACCTCCGCCGCTGGTCGTCGGAAAATGCATGAAGATCGTCGATGACACCAATACCACCACCTGCTATTCCAGTTCCAGCAGCGGGGAGGAGGACGAGGATGATCTGGATGCTGCCAACCGGGAGTACATATGCGAGGATGGCGAAAAGCTGGGACCTCCGGAGCTGATAAATGGCCCCGGTCCCTCGGAGGCCTACTTCAACATGTTCTGGCACTCGAACATGCTGCCCACCATCGGCGAGGTCGAGGAGGAGTTCTCCTCCCTGGAACCCCAATCCCTAACAAACGGGTGAGTAATTGGTTTTGAAGGTGTCAGTCGGGGATTAGATTAGGTTCACGAGTGCCTATAAGCCATTTTGCCAACTTCTTAGGCAGTGCAGTGCTATATAGTAAATTCAAATTTAAAGTTTCGGATATATGCATTCAGATAAAAAATATATAAAATTATCAATTAGTTGTGTCAATAATAAATATTTATCAAAGTAAATGGCCAACAAAAGCTAGTTAATATAGTCAGGTTAGATCGGAATGCCTAGTCGTTCTAATCAGTCACTTTTATTATATGGCTTAGATATTTTGCACATACCACTTGCTAAATTCCATAACACAGTAAACCAAAAGTTGCGAGTGCACTATTATAGCCTAGTTCGTTAAATAAACTGGGTTTTTATGGAAACTTGGAAGTCACCTAACACATTGTTTTGTGCAGTGGCAAAATCAATTGATTGGGTCTAGTTTATGAATAAATGGTAAGGGGACTTTTCTATTGTTTTAACAAAAATACAGTACAAAGCGTGTAGCGAAAGCAGTTAGCAAGGGTAAACGGGAAAAGAGGTAAAAATAAAAAAGAAAACGAAGGCTGATAAGACAAAATGCCGGTGTGTTTACTAACACACTGATAAAGGGGGCTTCAATCAGCCGATAAGGCGGAATGGCAATAGGAAAAGAGCTATCAGTGTGATTTTGGTAACGTTGGGCGAAGGTTCGGAACTGATCGAACCTGTCTCTATTGACGTTTTGCTTAGCAGGTGCGATGGCAACAGGTCAATTAGCATATCTACCGCAGCGATAAGAAGCGTAATTGTCATTACTGAGGTTCTTTTACCCTGTACTTTCCATCCAGAAACCTTGTCAAATCAGAGGAGTCGAAGAAGTTACACAAAATGGAAGTAAGCGGCGGTGGACTGACCCAGCTGACTGATGATAAGATTGCTGACCGTGACGCAAGTGCAACGAGAGAGGATAGTCTCAATGAAGTCACAACGAACCAAATCCATGAAATCAGCTCTAGCAGTTCCAGTTCCGTGAGAAGTCAAAAGACCACCACAACCACTCGAGTGACCACCACCAAGACTAGTTCCAGTTCCAGCTCCAGTTCGTCCAGTTGCTCATCCACTATCATCCCGGATATTGCCTTCAAGCTGCAACCCTATGAGGATAGGGACGATATACTGTCGGAACCCATTACCACCATCCACGAAGAACGACGTGTGCTAAGTGAGCAGAAGACCCTCAGCGAATCGAGGACCCGGGATGCATTAACCGGCGAAGAGCAGCTGGTAACCAGTGCCAATTCGAAGTCGAGCAGTGCCCGCTTCAAGAAGATCAGCAGCAACGACAACCTACTCGACCTTGGCGACGAGCAGGACATGCAGGAGCAGCCGTTGACCGCCACGATCACCCAGGAATCGAGTCTGAGGGAGCGGTTGGAGTGTCCTCAGGATAACCAGAGTATCGAGAGGGGTACTCTGACCCTATCCGAGCGGGGAAAGCAGCTGAGCGAGAAGGACGGCCTCAGCACCTACACGGAATGTGAGACGAGTGAAAAGGAGTCCTACCTGGAGGGCCAACAGCTCCTCAATGGGAAGGAGGGTTCTACTAGCCAGGATGAGCCTAGTGACCAACCCACTTACGAACGAGAGGTCAGCGAGACCCTAACGATCGTCAACGATGGCGAAAAGCAGGTCACCAAGAAATTGGAACAGAACAAGGAAACTGCTGGCAAAAAGGGTGCCAAGCTCCTTAAGAAGACCGACGAGGAGCGACGTCTTGAGCAGGAGGCCCAAAAGCTGATCGAAAGCTATCAGAAGGTCAAGAAAGAAGCGGAGAAGCTGTACAAACAGGAATTGGCCGACGATGATCAGGGCTTTGATTTAAGTGCCTTTGAGCAGGTGGAGGAGGAGGATAAGCCAGAGGAGATCAAAGAAGTGAAGGACTCCCAGCCTGTGAAGGTGGATATTCAAGTTGTAGAAGAGGTTAAAACACCTAATCAAGTCATAGAGGAAGTCAAGCTGGAAGATGTGAAAGAGAAAGTGGAGGAGAATGTCCAAGTAGCTCAACAGGAAATCAAAAAAGAGGTCAAGGTCTCACACCAAGAAATTAAAGAAACCTTGAAGAGTGAAGAAAAGGACGAGAGTAAGGAACTCAAGGAGGTTAGGGAGCAGGTCAAAGTAACGCAGCAGGATGTTAGGGAACAGGTCAAGGAGATGGAGGCTATCAAAGAGGTGCACAAAGAAGTGAAAGTTATTAAGGAAAGTGCTAAAGTCATTACGACCACGAGTCACAAACAAGCAATTACGGCAGTAAGGATCTCTAAAGAAGGAGTTTCCAAAATAGATAGCACACTTCCTGCCGTGTCAACCACAAAAGTGGAGATCATCTCACCTCCCCTGGAAGACGACTTGGGCTACGTGCTCCACAAGCACATTATTCTTCCCCAGGAGAAGGTCAAGACGCCGCCCGCGCCACTGCCGAAACCGAAACCCAAACCTCCAGTGCCCACAAACAAACCCAAAATGCCGGTCAGCTTGACCAAGCCGAAGTCAGCACCTCCACCAGTGCCCAGTAAGAGGAGTGAGCTATCGGCATCCGGTGCCAAGCCCACACCCACCCAAAGGCGCGGCAGCTTGGAGACCGCCCAACCTCCGAAGCCGCTGGAACGCATAATTGTCGGCGTGGAGCAGCGGGATGAGCCAGAAAAGCCAGAAAAGCCCCAGCCAATTATCAACTTGGCCAGCGTTGATCTGCCCAATGTGGCGCTCAGCAGCAAGCAAGCGACCGTGGAAACAAGTCCTGTGGTCGAGATGCCACCGGATGAGCTCCAATTCGAGAGCCACCAACTGCCGGATGACAGTGAAAAGCAAAAGGACTTGCATCAGGAGTCAAATGACCTGCTCAGCGGGTCGTCATCGTCGTCGGTAACCACGCCCATAACAACGCCAATTTTGGTATCTGCCACCTCGTCGATGGACTCGGTGCAAAGTGTCATCGAGGTCGCCAATGGATTGCCCATCATCAGCAATCAGCACACTGACGACGACGACATTGATGAAGATGACGCGGCGGATGACGATGGGGTGCATTTGGAGCCCGCAGCTCCGAAGGATATTCGTCCTGTCCAGGAGGTGACAACGTTGACGCTCGACAGGGAACACGAATCAGGTGAGTGACGACCATACGGTTTTCGAATTTCGAATTGCTTGTAGGGGGTATAAACTATTTTATAATACCTTTACACTTTCAAAAGAAAATTAAATTTTTAGGAGTTACAAATTCGCTAGGGTCTACATTACATAAAAATAAATCAATGCAGCGAAAATATTTAATAATTATCTGAGGTGCATTAATTATCTTTAAATTTATTTAAGCTATGTTCGAATTTTATTTATTTATTTATTTTTCTTAAATTTGTGAATTTCACTTCAGTGAAAAGATTACATGTTTGCAATTGGCCCAAAGTTATTCAGAACTGTTTATGGTTTGCAGCTTCGGCAGTTGCAGTGGCCAAAATTCGAAGAGTAATTCTGGGGATCTAGAACTTTTTGTCCTTCGACCTTCATCGTTGTTTACTTAGTTGATTTTCGGACAGCCCCCAAAGAGTTGCAACCAGAACCCGTCGACGCACGCAATTATCAGCCACCAAATGAGTTTTACAGCCATCGCACTAGTGGTCGGCCTGGAAACTCTGGACCCTCTGGTAACTTGTCACTTTGACCACAATTTCAGCTTCCTCTAGCCCCCGGCCACGCCCCTTTCGGCCCGCCAAAACGCCCTTTTTGGGTCATTGCGTATGCAAAACGGCCACTAATGGACTTTATGGCAGAGTTTTGTTTGGTCGGTTTCGGTTTTTATTTTCTGCGCGGGGGCGTTTAATGGCACCCTTCCAAGTGCGGTGATAATTTTGGTTTTTTTGGACAGTGTTTTTATTGAGGAGATAATGCCATGCAAATTGAGTTTATCTTTCAATTTGTTACTTGATGACGTTTAATTAGACTAAAATTAATAGTGATGGAATGGGCCTTTTTATACCCGTTACTCGTAGCTGAGTAACGGGTATCTGATAGTCGGGAAACTCGACTTTTATGCTGAAAGAATGCGACGTAAATAGTAGTTAGCTATCTTTTAACTGATTTTTTACTACTTGGTGAAGTCTTTCATTTATCTTTATTAAAGCTACTGGATTTTGAGAACTGATTCGTTGTATATTTATTTTGGGGATTTTAAAATAATAAACAGCAAACGATTAAAACCGTAGGCAAGCAATTTTTAATTTCAATGGTCAACAAAAGTAGGCCTCTGGCAATTCCAAACGCCTAAAAAGCCGAAATAAATTTCTGAGAGTTAATAAAACGAATATTTTATTACACCTATGTTCATATTGGTCAGGCATAATTGTTTGGCTTAAATATTTCATGTGGATTGGATTGGGATCCCTTGCGCTTATAATGGAAAATTTGCATTTCATTTATGGGAAAAATGCAAGCGCTTGAAGGCAGGCAAAAACTGGTGGCCAGTGGGAAATATTGGGGAAATGTTTTAATTAAACAAAAAACAGGCAAATATTGGCACCACTGCCAATCCCCTCCAATCCGCCCTCAGTTCATAGTTTCCCGAGTTTCAAGCACGCGCCAAAATATTTACATACCAAAATGCGTTTGCTGAGTGCCAATGGGTGGCTGGAATTGGGGATTGTGGGTTCATATCTCTGTATTCGGGGTGTGAAATAATAATGAAATTTTGCCTGGACAACCCGCATCACATTTGCATATGCCAGGAACAGTGGGGACAGGCATTTTTATGAAACTGTAGGTAATGTAAGAAATGTAAGTTTTAATGTATTTGATTCTATTTCTTTTGCTTGTTATGAAAATAATTTAGTTAACAATTGAAAAGGGTAATAAATTATTCTGGGGATTCCTAAATACATTTTATTGCAGCCCATGGTATCGCAATCAGGTTTTTGTTTTTGAATGTTCCAATCCGTTCCCCTCCACCTCAGCGTCATTGCCTTTAGTGTTGTTTTTACTTGCCGCCTGATAAAACTTAACAAATAGGCTTTTTTCGGTGTTTCGGAATTCTCTTTGCACACGTAAAAAATATTTTTTTTGTCGCTGGCTGCTGCTATTATTTTATGTGGCCGCGCAAATTTGCAATTAAATCTGCACAAAAATATGCAAGATTTTTTGATTCCACTATTACACTGCGCTGTGTTATTTGTACCCCGAATGATTTTTCTGGAATTTCATGGACGTCATAAAAGAAAATTGTGCGGTTTTTTGCGCCATCATGAGTTTCATAATTATTATTGGTGTCAGCGAAACATTTGCTGTGACCGTGGATCGTTAATTCCCAGACAATTGCATTGATAAGACCCTTGAACATTCGGTGCGGCTAGGAGCTTATCTGTTAGCGGTTTGCTTTTATGATGACCAGATGGCTAAAGCTCTCATCGAGATTGTAAATAAAATAAATATAGCTCTGGTAGAAGAGGGTGCTCATCTATCTATATCTACATGTCCGATATCTCGCACAGCGTTTTGCCAGTTGGGAATTGAATTGAATTTGGGTCTAAACTTGAGTCTGACTGACATGCAGCTCAGCACCATATCTTCGACCAAATTGCTTTTGGGCCCTCAACCACTTGGCCAATTGACAGCTTTTGGCTTATGAACATTCATGGAATTGGCTTACGGCAGCTGTGCTGGTGACACTGTCTAATGTGTGTGCATATACCATATGAGCAAATTCTCAATGGGAGATTTCAGTTTCTCATTCACTTTGCTTTTTACGCCAATTAAAGATAAGGAATCATTTTTTGCCTAACTTTCTATATATATAAATTAATGAAAAATGATTTATTTTTATTAATTTGGTAACAGATTACATATTACACCCCAGTTAATTAAAGCTAAGATTCTCTACAATAAGCTTTTCACATAATTATAGAACTCTTGACTTCTTATTATATTGTCCCTAAGGTTTTTGTTACTTTAAAGTGTGTATAACTTTTATGCCGGTTTTTTCAAGTTGTCTACGGCTTTTAGCAGTTTATTGATGGCTGTCTGGACTGTTCATTTGGGTACAAGTATTCTGGACATTTACAGGTCGCACACCCAGGAAGTGGAAACCTTTTTCCCCCCGAACCACCAAACCAATTTGACCCATGCAATTCTCGACTTTTGGCTGTGTGTGTCACGAATGTTGCGCAAAATTTATCGCTTTGTGAATTTCAAATTAATTTGAAATTAATTTTCAATTTCGATTTTCATTGCAGCTCGGTTGAATTGGTTGTTCCTTTTGTTGGCACTGTGCAGTTTTCCTGATGTAATTACACGCTGTCCTATTTGTTGCTGTTGTTGTCATTGGCGCCTCGGGGTCCTTTGATTAGATTTTGTAGCTAATTTTATTGTGGTGCGGTTCTGTGGTTTATTCAATTGTTTTGTTGCCAATGAGAAAAGTGTTCGGATGCAGCTGTGGAAACCAAATCCAAATCGAAATCGAATCCAATGTAAACTTCTGTTTAGTCTGCCGTATTGTGTTCATTCATTCATTCGATTTGTTTTCCCGCCTGCTGGGGATTTATCTTTTCGCTTTGCTGATATATATAAGTATCATATATATGTATATATATATATATGCTTCGATTTTCAGTTGGCTCTTCTCTGCTTGTTTTCCTTTGCATTGCCTCAAAAGTGCAGCTCCATGTTGACCAAGTACTTGTATGATTTTTCGCTTTCCCTTCCTTTTGCTCCTATAGAAATATTTATATATCTGCATGCATGATGACAAATGGAAAAGTAAAATGTCAAGGATGGAAACCGGGTTCATATTTCCAGAGCAGGGGAAATGGCAGTAAGAGGAATTGCAGTCCAGGACTCACTCAATCACCTCATTCATTCGGTCAATCATGTTCAGGTCTGTGTGACTTTTAGCTGCTCATCATTATTTTGGCATATTTATAGGGCAGCCACTTTGAACCCCCCTGTGGTTTTCTATGAACTGTCAAATTAAACGCCATTTAACAGCAATCACTCGTTTCCAGTCGATATTTAGCAGCATTTTGTGGTTGTAGCTTTTTAGCGTTTTGTGGTTTAACAAACATTTTCAAATGGCAATTGTTAGGCTTTTTTGGATACAAATTTAATGAAGGGTATTGCATAACAAATTTCGGAGTGTTGCAACTTTTTGCGCTAAGCTGAAATCAAATATAGATGTGTAACAGATTATTATTCAGTGAAAAATATATCTTAAAACGCTACCCCTCTATTAATTTAGTTTGTTTTGATAGTTGCAAAATGGATTCCATCACACCCAGAACGACTTCTTCTTAGCAATTGTTGGTGCAGTTCACGATCTCAGTTCCCAAGCATTATCATTTTGTGCGGCTAAGCTCATTAACGGATCCACCGAAAAGAGCCGGACTTTTGGCCGCCTTATGGTGTTAACCCCATTCGCAGGAGCCTAATCAGCTGTCAGGTGGTGTTCAGTTCAGGTGAGCAAGGAGCTGCCGGGAGAAAGAAGGTGTCAACTGCGCCTGCTGCACTTTCAAATCCAATTAAGAGTGTGAACTTGCCGGCTCTTGGAAATTAACAGTCAGATAGCCGGGGCACAAACAAAGTGACATTGTCACATTAAATGCGAAATGTGCAACAGTAGCTACTGGAGATAAGGGGCGAAAGAAGTCGTTGGAGGTGTAGCCCAAACACAGAACTCGCAGCAGCCAAGCCCAGCTGCACTTTTGTGTCAGAAAGCTGACTACAGCTAACTGCACATAGAGAACCCAACGAGCCCCTACCCACTTCAAGCCTCATTACAGCTCCTTTCTGCGACACTCGAAACGAAAACGAATAAAAATGGTTAAGCTATTGATTTTAGAAACCAGACTAGGCTAATAAAAATGGAATTTGCTAAAGCGATCCATTAAAAAGTTCCTCCCCATAGCATTTCAGCATTTTTCAGTACTGAATCATTACCATGTGTCTTTTAAGAAACTTAAAAATATTTTGAAAAATATTAAAAATTAGGCGCTTGCCAACAGTTTCTCTAACTGCATCTCGAAAGCCTGGCAGCTTGCTGTGCAGCCTGCGCTGCCTGCAATTATCACATTTCCAAATGGTCACGGACCACGAAATCTCGAGTTCAGATATGAGGCGACCCCGATC